TCAGATCGATGCGATGTTGCTCTGCTTAGAGCTATTTTTCTTCTTCGAATTATTTGATGTTACGTAGTTCCAAATAATTTTTTTCTCATTTGAACGAATTTCGTTTGTCGTCCTCAAAAGCAGGCTGATATGCTGTGGAATCAGTTGTTGTCAACGTAGTGAAAGCAGGAACTTCACTTGGTCAAAATTATAAGGCCAGGCTATCAAAGTTATTAAGTTGTTAGCGTGTTACCTTCCAAATATTAGGTCATCCCATTTAAAAGTTCGCAGACATTCAGAGGGATGGTGGGATTACGAAAGAAGCAAACACTATTGACATTGTTTTGATCAGAAGTGAGCACCATCAGCTACAAGACTGCCCGATTTCGACATTATGGCTGCAGCAGAAAATGTTGAGAAACTGAAAAAAAGTATTACCGAGCAGGATCAACGCGGGATTATCAAGTGGGGCGTTATACAGGGATAATTCGCCGCTCAAATTCATCGTGAGCAACAATTGGACGGGACGGAGTTCTCCAAGCGTAGTGTGGAGAAATGGGTGCGAATGTTCAAAGAAGGAAGAACGGAGACAAGTGAAGGCTGAGGTGGTGCTCACAATGTTCACTCCACACACGAAGAACGAGTAGCTGAAATCAAGCGTCGAATGGCTGAGCGCAGAGACATTCTCGAACTTGCCCGCGAGACCGGCATTCCTGCTACGACCGTTGGCCGAGTTGTGTCTAAAGAATTGAAGATGGTCAAGAAGATGTGTGTATGGGTACCTCATTTACTTACAGAAGCACAGGTCCAAAATCGAATTGATGCCCGCAGAAACAATCTTCTCCGCCACCGACGTCACTCGCGACTATTGAATCGAATGTTGGCTATAGATGAAACATGGATGGCTTTGTACACTGAGCCCAAATGTCGCAAGCGTCGGGTTTGGATGGACGCCGATGAAGAACCGCCCGAATTGGTTCATGAAGAGTTACGTGGTTCCAGGCCGATGCTCATCATGGCAATGGATTTCTGGGGCATGGCGTTCTGGCGACTGTGTCCTGAAAAAATGACCGTCACTGCTGAAGTGCATCGCCAATTTCTCGACGATAATATCGGCAGTTGAATGGCAGCACGTAACTTCAAGAAGGCAATTATCGTTCATGACAATGCCAAGCCCCACGCAACTCGAATTGTGCAGCAGTTTCTTGAAGAAAAGGATATTGAAACGTGGATTCAACCGCCGTATTTTCCCGACCTCCAGCCGTGCGACTTCAACTGCTTCGGTCAAATGAAGATACGTCGCAGTGGCAAACGCTTTGACAACTGGTCGATCGCCGAAACGGACATCAACAGCATTTTATCTGCACTTGCTGAAGAAAAGAAGCTACTTGGTGTCCAGATGCTACCTGAACGCTGGGGCAATGATGGAGCCTACCTGACAGAACACCAGAATATTAGCTTTTTATCTCTCGTTTGCTGTTCATTTTATTCGAATAAAAGCTTGCGAACTTTTGAATGAGATGACCTAATATAATGCCAAATTCAAAATCAGTATGCAGGCGATTGTGGTCCCGGAGAGAATGCAAGTGGAGACAGAAATGCTTGGGATACCAAAGCACTAATCTCCTTCAATCAATCCCTTTTTGGGTTGTGAATCGTACTTGAGCTCTTCCAATATTCCGAAATGGCTCTCCTAATGACCACCAAACCATGAAGCTCGGTAGATTTGGTCCGAATTGAATTTGCTACTGTTATTCGACTCCCAGTTCGTTCTCCATTGTCGTTTTTATTCTTGTTGCAATTTTGCTTGGAATAATTTAATGACAGGGTTTGCCATAACGGCGTAAGAATTGGCTGTTAATCTATTTTACAAAGAACATTTGTAACGAATATCTCGTCTGCTTTATAAGTCTGCTTCATAAACCGTTCATAATGTCAAAAAATTCTTTTTTTCGACTTATTGATATGATTCGTCAGTTAATAATCGGTGGTTCAGTAAATCATGGAATTGCTTTGAAGAAATTGGCATTTGCATATCAAACTCGGATTTCTATGAAGTTTTTATTTATACTATAAATATGAATCCTTTATTCATAATAGATGATGTCTACCACCATTGTCGATTGCGTTTCGCCCACTTCTTTCTGAACAGGGGCAGTACGCGGCATTTCGTCCAGGTGCTCCATTGATATCAGGCTGTCCTGGTCCCCCTGGGCTTCCAGGTCTACCATTGTTACCTGGTCAACCAGGTGGTCCTGCTTACCGTTGTGCTACTACCATTTTGACCGAAGCAGCCAAGTGCTCCTGCAGCTCCTGGTCACCGGCTGGACCGGAGAAGTTTCACATATTGAGCACTATATCGAAGGTAGTCCTAAGGAGAATGCTAGTGCAGATAAAAGTCCACAGGACAGTGATACTTAGCAGAACCCATCTGAAAATAATTTTAGGTAATAGGCAGGCATAGAACTCGGCATAAGGGGTGTTCATTGATCAGAGTATTACCACTGATTTTACTAATGGAGTCTTGGTTTCCACCACTCGAGGGCTATTCATTTTGGTTAAAGGGTCTTATTCTGTAGTTGCAATGTCAACGAAAGAAAGAAAATTGGAACGAGTGAAAGGTTCTGAAAATGTTAGTGGGATAATTCTCTTGTCAAAAGGAATAGGTCAGAACAGATTGTTGTGGACACAAGCTCAATTCATCTTGCAAACAGGCCTCTGAACTAATCTACCTCTCTTTCTCTTTCTCTTTCTTTCTTTCTCCCCTTCTCTATCTCTTCCCCTCCCTATATTCTCCTTTTCTCTGACCACTAGTAAAAATCATGCTTCGATACTTGCTCAGCATCTGTAAGGTTTTAGGCATCAAATGATCGGGCCGCTTGTTTTATTCTTTGAACGCTCAACTTTTGGGGTCAATTGGATTCTGCATGATACTGGTTCCGATGCTGGCTTCCGATGTTTGCGCCATGATTAGAAGGTGAAAGCTACTAGAAGGAAAGATATATGACAGTGTTTATCGGAGTGTAATTTATGTCTTCTAAAGGTCGTTTCATGCATTTATATTGTTGCTTAGATCTGGTTCTTACGGTTTGTTTACCAGTCAGCTTCGAGTCATGGTTAGAAATTCGGATCCGCCCACAATGACGGTGAGTGACAGAACAGTATGACACATACCTTTTCAAGTTTCAAAGTTCAAATTTTAATATTGATGGACTAGAAGGGCTGAGCATAATGGGTTTTCTCTGGAGAGTCATCCCAACCGTCTTCTTTCTACCTGCCCAGTCATCTCCTTCATTGCTAATACGTTCAAAATCATGCACGAACTGGTTTGTTCGAATTTCCATTTTAAATTAGAAAAATATGATTGAAATACTTAGATTGTTCTGCAGGGGTGTGGTCAAAAATTTTTTCAGTACGATACCATTGAGTACGATAGTCGTGCTCTCCTTCATAGCCCATAACGGGTTCCGGTGATTTGTTTCAGTTTCAAATGGTTGTGTGCCTAACTTGGGTTAGGTTCATTTTAGTATGCACCGAAAACATACCAAGATATGGAACGGAATGTGAATAAAGAAGTTCAAATCGACTGTATTCGTTTGAAACCACATGCGAAAAGACAGCGCTCAAATGGAAATGGTTTAGGTAGCCAATACCCCAAGAAATGACTGGTCCTGGGAAGCTCACCGCAAGTTGGCTTGAGATTCTCGAATGGTATCGCTGGGCACTCCGTCCTATTAGTACCACTGCCTATTCGGCTATATACCTTGTACTACAGAGCCTCTTCTTAAACCGTTTCCTGGCACACCACATCGTCACGCCTTCGTTATGTAACCGTTTCTGAACGATAACATCTGGCTGTTCGAAGCGAACGAAGCGAGTTTCCTGCGCATGTTGTAGCCGTTCAAGTGAATGTGACTTTCGCCACACGTCATTCGAGAAACCTGAGTCCTCGTGCCCAATGGTAAAAAAATGTTATACAAGGTACATTACTGCTCGCATACTTGGCTCTGTATGGCGTTGTATAGCCTGCATCCGGTACTGACAGAGCCAAGTATGCGAGCATGAATGTACGTAGAAATGAATGAATGTTGGCTTGGCTCAAGGCGCTCGAGGTTAATAGCGCTCTTGTGTTATTGATCATTATCGATTGAAAATATAGATGGAAGAGATTGGTTCAAGCATTGTGTATAGCTGTGGTGACTTCTGTTTTCCATGATAAATCCCATTTCTCATCGTACGTAGTTCTCTCGTCTCACTTTCGTAAGCCGGATCGGAGAAGGAATGGAAAAATCATGAAACGCCAGTGTGCAGTCTTTAGTTGCCCACCTTCTGGGATCTCAACCATATTTGAGTCTGAATCAACAAAGATCTTGGAACTTCAGCATATGTACGTACAACTCGACAACCAATGTCCTCAACTATGTTTGATGTCGGGCAGCAGACCAAGGAAAGGTAAAGTGCTCAGTAGGATTGACTTTCGGTTTACTGCCCATGCTTGCTCCAATGATCAGCGGCTGTTGCATAAACTCCGGTTTGTTTTGTTGTTGATGTTATCATTTTAATTCTAAATTGGACTGAACAAAATTTGATTTTCGAGTTTGCTGTAACGAAAAAATCAGAGGTTCCCTTATTTTTCATCCGAAAGATGGAATTTTGGCTTGAATCTTGCTAATATTATTCTTCTTAAATTTTAACTTCACGTCATTGCGATTCTGAGACGTTTTTTCTTTTCTTTTCGTTGTCCGACAGTAGGCGGTGTTTCTAATGATAACCATCACTGGTAGCCATAACATTCGTAAGCACAAAATCAATGTTTGTGAATACTTTATTTTGACTACCAAGAATACATAAGATATGTCGGATGTAGGTGCCTGCTGCAATCCACATTGTCGGTTGCTTTTCAACCACGACTTCTTCCAGGACAGGGACAGTACGCGGCATCTCGTCCAGGTGCTCCATTGCTACCAGGTTGTCCTGGTGCTCCTGGGCTTCCGGGTCTTCCGTTGTTACCCGGTCGACCTGGTGGCCCTGCTGGTCCTGGTGCTCCGGCTCCATAGCTACTACCATTCTGGCCAGGCGAACCAGGTGCTCCTGCAGGTCCTGGTCCACCGGCTGGACCGGGGAAGTTTCTTGTTCGGGTTCCTGCAACAGTTGTTGAACAGAAAAAGCGCTTACTATTTCGATACCAGAATGCCACATTTTGTACCTGGTACTCCGGGCGTTCCATCTTGTCCTGGTGCACCAGGGTTTCCATTCTGTCCAGGTGCTCCTGGAGGTCCAGGAGGTCCTGCGGGGCCTGAAGTACCATCAATCGTTTTAATGGATTTTTGAATCGGGAAGTCCACTTTTTCGCGACCTACCTGAACCGCCACCCTGTCCGTCTTGTCCTGGATTTCCTGGAGCTCCTGCTGGACCAGGTGCTCCGCTAGGTCCAGGTCCGCCGGGAGGTCCTGCTGGACACTTAATGCACCCGGATAAGTGCTGTGACATGGCGGCGTAACCTGAAGCACCTGGATGGCCAGGCTCTCCAGGATAACCGTCTTCTCCGGGTATACCGGCATGTCCAGGAGGTCCTGCAAAAAAAAGAAGTTTACTTATTCACGACTTCATCTATTTTTTGGGCGTATTTAAAAAGTTTTTTTTTGAGAGCCATTTTCCCAGTGTTAGCAGAACTTACCAGGAGGTCCACGAGGACAGCCGGCGGCTTTGGCCGCGCACTGACACCCTTCGCCTCCTTCTCCTCCTCCAACTTGGCCGCCTCCGTCGGCGTATGATCCCTGCCTTTTGTTGCGGACTATGGCTTCGTAGAAGACGCTGTGGCGTTGTGGTGCAAAGGCCTTATTCGTGGTCATCATCACAGTCCACGCATCATCGGCAAAGGTCTAAAAAGCAAATACGGTTGTTCTCGTGCTAAGACTTTTACAGAAAAAGCAGCATACCCTGAACTGGCTAAGATCCTCCTCAATTTGTGTTTGAAAGTCGCCCATATCGCTCACAATGTTGAGCACCACGAGGAATGTGGTCCCGAGAAGAAGACCGGTGCAGATAAAAGTGCCCAGGACACTGTAGTAAACAGCTGAACCCATCTGAAAAGAATTCGATGTGATATGAAGTAGGCTAACGCGTAAGGAGACACTCGAAAGCAGTGCGCGAGGCGAGAAGCCCTGGTTCAATTTGGAGATAAGATCTTCGAATTCAGTGAGAAGGGTTCTTGGTGAGATTAGGGAGTCCCTAGAATGTGCCCGTTGACCGGGTCGCTGTTATGATAAATAACCCAACGACATGATGAGGGTTTTTTGTTTGTCAACATTTTGGCATTGAAAATTGGAATTCTCTGATAATGGGCAATGACTTATAAAAGGATAGATAAGTGATACCGTTGAGGACGGTTGAATGTTTTCCAGATGAATGTTTCGTGTATTTATATTGATGTCCAAATCTGGTTCTTACTGTTTACCAGTTAGCCCGGCCGTCAGAAGCCCATCTACGCCCACTCTTAAGGCTATTAACTGGGCAGAAAGCCGTGCAGGGATGGCTAGGGATATGATTAGTGGCGATGAAAGTGAAAACAAAGCATGTTGAATGGTATCTGAAAGTCGTTGTCGTGGAATCTCTTTCTCCTTTTTTCTTACCAGATTCTCCATACCACCTTCAACCCATTTCTCTTTCGTTCTCGAACAACTCTTTTCAGTTTCGTTTCAAGGTGATCAAGATCGAGAAAAATGGAGTTCGAAAAACTTCCAAGGCTCTGTTGCCAACTGTGAATGCAGTACCCACTTTGACAGTATAGTCAGAGGGGGAAATTCATGAGACCAGCTATCATAAGTATAGTGCTCCTTGCAGAGACCGATCACACTGGGAGTCATTGTTCACTTGGTTTTGATTTTCTGCTTCTGTACTGGCTATAGAAAATTCAAATATTTGAGGTTGGAAAGTTAACATTCCTCTTAATCATTTGCAAATGTACAGCCGTGAACGTTAAAAATCTCATGGGTAATCTCGCGGCTATTGATCGAAGGCATCGGCTTGTTGGCTCGCATAGCTTCCGCCAATCGATCTGGTAAAGTATAATGGAGCATATTAAGTTGATTAACAATTAGGCTCTTTTATAATGCTACTAACATTTGAGCTCAGCCATGATTTTGAACCGGCAATCTATGTATGTGCAATCCGCTAATTTAATCCTTCTAGACAATTCTGGGGCTTTCACGTTCTCCAGGTCACCAACCATACTCGTCTGGTAATACTTGCTATTGCCCAACTCGTCCCGCATCTGATGACGTTTTCAATACTTTCGGTTGGGCGATTCCAGCTTGGAAAGAATTAACTTCCGTGGATCGCCGTAACAATGCAAAAAATGGCTTACGATTATTTTTCAGAATTATTCACTTGTTCTGTGCGTGAGGGTATTGTCTTTCTGGTTTTGGGAGTCTGCATGATGGCTGAATGGTGACAATAACTGAATCCGAATAGAATTTTCAAACAGAATTTCTTTAAAGTTTTTATTCTGTCTATTCTGTCTACTCTGAAGGCATGAGATGTGCCGAGTGCAACGAAGTCTGATGCAGTCCTAGTCACTGAATGCGCTTCTCGGTGGAGTTGGATACTGCCCAAGTGTTGGATACTGTACACGAGTTCTTGGTGGACAGGGACAGTACGCAGCATCTCGTCCAGGTGTTCCATTGATACCAGGCTGTCCTGGTCCTCCAGGGCTTCCAGGTTGTCCATTATTACCAGGAGGACCAGGTGGTCCAGCTGGTCCCGGTGCTCCTGCTCCATAGCTACTGCCATTCTGACCGGGTGCACCAGGTGCTCCTTGAGGTCCTGGTCCACCGGGTGGCCCAGGATTGCTTCTTGACCGGGTACCTGAAAGTATAGCATTTAGATGTAGTTTTGGAGAATGTGTCACTGGAGTTACAAAATAGCCCGAATAATTTTTACCTGGTGCTCCAGGTATTCCATCTTGTCCTGGTGCACCGGGGTTCCCACTCTGTCCAGGTGCTCCTGGAGGTCCAGGAGGGCCAGGAGGGCCTGAAATAATGTCGTACGTGATTAGCGATGTTCAATGAGATGATCACTTGTTGTTGTTAATGGCCTACCTGAACCGCCACCTTGTCCATCTTGTCCTGGATTCCCTGGAGCTCCAGCTGGACCAGGTCCTCCATCGGGTCCAGGTGGTCCAGGAGGCCCAGCTGGGCATTGTATGCACCCGGTTTTGTAGGGCGAAGGAGCGGGATCACCTTGACGACCTGGCTGGCCTGGCTCTCCAGGAATGCCGTCTTCTCCTGGTATTCCAGCTAATCCAGGAGGTCCTGCACGAGTATTTTCAGTTGCAGATCATAAAAACGATTTTTCAGCAAAGATCTTACCCGGTGGTCCCTGAGGGCAGCTAGAGGCTTGGGCTGCGCACTGACACCCTCCTCTTACTCCTGCTTCTCCACCACTTCTGTCATAGCCACGTGCTACTTCTCCTCCACTTCTAACATAGCCACTTGATGTAACGTATGATCCCTGCCTCTTGGTGCGAACAATGGACTGGTAGAAGACGCTCTCTCGTTGATTTAGGTTGGCTTTATTCGTGGTCATCATCACAGTCCATGCATCGTCGGCATAGGTCTAAAACAATTCGATTCTCAATAGGTCAAGTACGAGTAAAATTTGCTTGAGGAGAGCATACCTTGAATTGACTGATATCATCAACAACCTGCATTTGAAAATTACCGATATCATCCACGATGTTGAGTATGAGAACGAATGTGGTCCCGAGAAGAATGCCCGTGAAGATAAAAGTGCTCAGAATACTGTAGTACACAGCAGAACCCATCTTAAAAACGTTTCATCGTTAAATAGGATAAACTGGGGTTTGTCTATGAGCTTTCACCGACAAAATGTATCCGTTGAAAGTGGCTAAGGGATTTCGTTCAGCAATAAGCGTTGGATTTGTTCCACTAGAATGACCTCTGGAAGATTGTTCTTTCCCTTTGGGCTTTGAAAAAAAAATATTTGCATCAAATTGCATTATCCCGGTATTTGAATGGTTCTAAACACTTGGGAAATTTCAGTTGTGGCCTGGAGGAGATCGGAATATTGCTAAGAACAGAGGGTTAGTGTGAAAAACGGGTCTTCGTTGATGGAAGTGCCCCAGTAAGTAAACATATTCATAAGTTTGTGACCGCGATATAGGCTGTATAAAATATCTGGTCCCTAGTGATAATTTAGCAGCTGGTAAAAGAAAAGTATGAGAAGTGGTAATGAAAGGGAGGTTGATGCTTTCTACTTCGAACTTTCGTGTATTTATAGTATGACTCTGATCTGGTTCTTATGTTTACTCTACTGGGAGTCATAGCTAAAGGCAGGCCCTCCTGCCAAGTGAGGATCAGCGTCTCGAAAAAGATTTATATCAGTGTAACCATGAGAGTCATAAACCGTTTGACGTTAATCAATCCTGTTTTGGAATGCGCTGCGCACTCGACTTTCATTCAGGGTCGTTGACTCGCAGTGGCCAGCCAATATACAAGTCAATCTTTTTATCCTCTCAGGCGAATCTGGGACCATTCAACCGACCCTGAATGGTGGAGAGCATTTTTGGCATGGGAAGGATGGATTCGGGATATTCCTCCAAGGGTGGCGTAGCTGAAATTTATCGAAGGAGACTTTGTTGGGTACACAGGCCTTGAGGATTCAAAGCCGAACTGGAGTTGTCTGTCTTGCTAATGAGGTTGTATGAGCCAATGCCCTCAAATGCACTCGTGGCGTTCATGATTCCGAATGGACTTCCTTTATTGTCTGGAGGGGAATGATAGTCATCTTTTACCATCTATTTTTCATAATTGATTTCTGGGAGAATGCAACAAACTGGTTAGGTGGATAGTTAGTCTCTGAGAATGCGCACTTACTGTCTTTTTTTGAAAGTACTGTCACTAGAGTGGAGGGGTCCTCTGTCAGTAGTGGCAACCCAGCTTTTACGCTTTGAAATACCATGTCCGTTTCTATCAATGTGATGGAGGTAAAGTATGAGGCTTCTCGTAAACGCTTTTCTCTTCCTCCTTCCTACAGTGGAAGGATTCGCGAATATATACCACTTCGTCGGTAATTTCGAGGCACGAACTTGTTTTCATCATTGGCACAGCCTCATTAGTTCATGGCTCGAATGGATATCGGCATTATTGAACTTTTACAAATTGAACACAACTGAAAGCACAAATTTTCCAGTAATTCTGGTCAAGATCAAATCAAATGTTCAATTCACTGCTGTGCGTGCAATTGGGCGTGCGACAGCATGGCCACTTGCGGCTGCCGAACGCATGCCTTATTCGGTTATTGATTTATGAGTGTCTATTCTTTTTTATCTTATTTTTTCAAAGCACTGTTGAAACGGATCGAGGTATCGTTGAGCATATTTTTGAGAAAGCTAATTGGCTGGATTAAATACACAATGGCCTTATTTTTTATTCAAATCTAAGAACACCGTCAGAGAAGCACAAGTATCCCTTTGAATGTTTCGAAATATCCAGGTCTTGCCTCGTTTATCTATAGTATCTGATAGGGATAGGAATTGCTTCGTTCCTTGAAAAAATTGCCATTAGTCATGATGCCTGCGATTGTCTCAATGGTAAGGCCCGTCAAAGCTCTTGAAGTATGCACCACACAGGCACTGTTCACGAAAAAATGGTTTCGGAGATCTGCACATGGTTTTAATTCGACGTCCCCTCTGATACTATTTGTGGAGGAATGAGGTCGGAAAACGGTCTGGATAGGGCACAATAAGGGCAGGAACAGTGGGGAACGGGAGGCCTCCGTCCCTCGCTTGGCTGACTACGAGTTCTAATTGTCCTTCACCACATTCGCATTAGAGCGAGTTGTCTGCTTGGGTGTATTGTCTGCTATTGCAGACATTGCGACGCCTTCGTGCACTCGCCCGAACACTCCAACGCCGTTCTTCCAATGTGAAACTCGTCCAACCCCCCTTCCCAGCTCTTTTTTGACCCTTTCCATTTCTTTTTGTTCATCGTTTTTTGCGCTTTTTTCGTTGTTATCGCTTTATTCTAGAGTAGTTCTATGAATTCCCGTCAAAAAAGGGTACCCTAAATTTATCGTAAACGGTGCCTTTAAGGAACAGAGTAATGGTAAGTTGCACAGGTGCTTTATGTTGGGAGACTGAGGAATTTGGTTGTATCCTGCCCGGACTCACCTGCAGCCAACCAACGTGACAGAGACTTCGTTGTTGACACCATATTTGTTTGGAGGAATAAAGCAACATTTGCTTGACTTGTCCCCCATTTCATTTCAATGGTTTTCGGAAGTCCGATACGTGGCGCACCCCAAAAAGGGATCTATCAAAATAACACGCATCATCATCCTTGTTATTCAACTGTTTCTCTATTGTGCAGTTCACTAGTCTCACTTTCACATAGCTTTAGATAGGATCTCTTTGCAGAAACATAATGACGGATCAGCGGCAAGTGTTAGTCTAACAACGAGAACTGGTATTCCTTAAAGTGGGATGTTATAAGTGGTGGCAGCGTTCATTCTGTTGTGGATACGCGTGTGCTCTGATGGATACTGCAATGTTTCAGGTGATAAATGATATAAGAATGATGGGAAATTGGCCAGTTCAGTACAGTTTTGAACTCTTACCGTAATCACGCTATTGCTTTGTTTGCTTAACACGTAACTGAAATACGTTTTATTTTATGACATTTCACGACCAAGTGTGTATGCAACAATGAAGGAGATCGAGTGTGGGCTTACGTTCGGACTTAGTTTCCGTTTTCATGTAGGCTTAGCAGTTGCTATCTGATTGTCTGCGCTAGCGGCGGACTTGACAGCGATCTTGGGATGAATGATGATAGCTCAATCTCGGTCTACCGTAACCACAACTTATTATTAGGACATGTCTTTCATGGATTGATTTCTTTTTTTTTNTTTTTTTTTGTGCTTTGATGAATTTTTACCGAAACGATTTTCCGAATCGCTAGAATAGAGAAACCTTCAGAAACCAATCCACTAGTGCTCACTGCTGATCATTCCCACTAATTTTAATTGGTCGAACTTGGTACGAGTTTTTTATGCGGCACCAGCTCTTCGTCTATATTGGAGGAAGTTCTTTCAGAAATGCTTCTTGATTATCTTTTGCTAAGGATGGTTGATGAGAATCCATCTGTGCTATTTTTGTTTGTTTTTATAGGGGTTCACTATCAGATTTTTGAATCCTGGACAAGACTATAAGGTGACGGCGTTCCAGATATGCATATATTCAACCATACAAATTAACTTGAAACCTTTCGACAGGGCTTCAAGAATTAGAGTTGGGAGAGCTTCTTTCTAGAAGAGAACGGAAAAAGCTCATGATTTTGTGAATTGAGAACTACTTCGGTTGTATTGGTCCGACACTATAAATCCGAGGAAATCGACAATTTCTATAGTATTGTCAAAGTAGATAATAACTACTTTAAGCGAGATTTTGGTCAAAGTCGGTTTTTCAAAATTTGTCAATTGAAAAGCTTCGGACAGGTTGGCGGCCCTTTTTAAAAGTATTTTTACATATATTCAATAGAAATATTACATAGAAAAGGTAAATTATGTAGGCTTGTAGACTATTCGGGTAATGTGAGTAGAAGATGCTCAGTCAGACCTGTCCTTCCGTCTCCCTGCTTTTTCCCATTTTTTCTTTCCATGTTCCCTTGCTACGCTTCTCCTTCCCTTTGAAATTCTTATAAATCAATGACTTTCACTCTTTTTACGTGTATTAGCACAGTCACCTAATTTAAGAGTTTATTCAAAAGTTAATGCAAACTATTATGTCATGTCTTACTTTTAAAGACAATTCTTCTGTGTTCAGGTTGTCCGCTTCGATTCACAAGGCCTCGTCCCGGTCATATATGTCCCAACAACGTGTTCAAAGTCCTTCGAATGGTTATACTCGTATCTGAACGGTTCTGCTATGTATTCACCACGACTTGGATGCTGAAGTGCATGTTCCTATAGGTATGCGCCACGCAATGACTTCTAATCGAGAACCCATAGCCACTTGAATTGACCGCTTTACCGCCACTGATTACTTACTTCACGACTTCATGAGGTCAGAAAATCGGTTCCGAAAAGTGAAATATTGGTCAGGAGATAGGTGCAGCCAACAGAACTACCAAGAAAAGTAGCTATGTCAGGTATCAAGGAGTGATTGAAGAGAATCCATGTCAAGTAGTGATTTTANACAGTCTAAGCTATAAGAATAAATACTGATTACGCTCAAAAGAGGGCATGTTAGGGTGGAACCTGCCATTTAATAATATAAACTGGTTGATAGCACGAATTCCCACGAACTAACGAAGTGGATAAGATTCACCTCCAAGTCCCTAAATAAGCTGGAAATCCAGCTGTAGCTCATCGTTGGAGGGTCAACCCTTTCACCTAGGTACCTTTACCGTCGATTAGTTACTACTGGTACTCCCATGGTAAAGGTAAATTTTGGTTGTTCGAGGAAATCACCCACATCATACAGGCATGAAATGGGTTGGTGAGCCGTAAAGATGACTCCGGCTTTATCTTGTACTTGCCATCCTCGTCCAATTCAGCGATTTTTCCTTTCAGTGGACCTTCCTTATACGATACGCCCATGTTGCGTATGAGCATTCTCCAGATTTGATCTGTCTGAAAAGTTGTTGGCGAAGTTGTCGATGTAAAACGTTCTAAAAAAAGTAGGGTTTTTCAGTTATCATAGAAGTACGAAGCTGACAGACGCCGCAACTCAGTTGGCTGCCAACAATTAGATGCTTACCGATTTATCTCTTGGCTGTTCCCTATCCTACTATATGTATTGTTATAAAACCATGAGTTGATGTGTCCACCCACCCAAAGCCCGAAATTGCAAATAATGAAAATATTGGAGGATTACGCACCGAATGAGTGAGTAGAAAGATTCCGTTGAGTGTCGAGGCTTTGAAATGGGGTATGACTTCAGTAGTATGGATCTGCCCTCTTTCGGAAGTCTTCTACTAATCAGACATCCCTCTAATGTCAGACTGGACTTTGTAAGAAATGCACGTTTGTGCGTTTTCGATCTTATGCAGTCTCAGTAACCAATCGAACTCTGGGCCAGGCCTCTTCCCCTGTTTTCTAATCGTTTGGGATTGAGAAAACAAGCTCGGTGCGTAAAAGCAGATGCTTGAATAGTATAGTGCTTGGGGCTAGCCGTTCAGACTTCTAAGATTATCAATAATACTGAATTGTAGGTAAAAAAATTTGCTCGGGAGCGGTTGAGACCTCCAAACGCCGCTTTTCATAATGGCATTGCAGCATGATTTCTTCGTTGACAAACAGTGAAGCCAGTAGCGAGCTAAACAGTTTGACTGTATTTGGGTATTGTATTGTGCCGGGGCCGTATTAGGTATACGGTCACATAGATACTCGTATATCTCTACCTGTGAGGTTGTATGGAAAGTATATGCCGAAAACCTTCACAATAATCCAGATTTCTACCGGAGTTTTCTGGAAGCTTCCGTAGAAATACTATTAAAGGACACTACCCTTTATTATGCGCATAATATTCAGGAGATTTCGTGATATCGCAACCTGCCGATGTGGTCGAGATTTGTCTCCGACCTTATTGTTTCAGTCTGTGAATCACTGGAATGAGATGTGCACAAAATAGTTCAGAAGGATCTTCAAGTGTTTGACACAAGTTCCAAAGAATTCCCTACAGCAAAGAAGTACGTGTCGAATGTGGGTTGAGGTTCGATCATTACTGAGTAGAATAAGCGATGAAAAGGAAATCGGGCATGTTATGCGTATACGCGTGGGCAGCCCTCACATAGAAGCACCATGGGAGCTTCCGAAAAATCGTTGGGGAAATCTGAACTGTTACGAATTTTTCGGTACATACTTTCCATGCAACTATGAACCATGTTTCGTACCGTTGTGGTAGTCATGAGAACCTTTATGCTGGATCCTCTATAGTAATTGAAAGCCAGTTAGACATGGAACAAATGACTGAATCGATGACATACCTATAAAGGCGAATTCCCTTTGAACGGAAAGGTTCATGATTGAATAGAGCATTAAGTTTTGGCATCCATTTGTATTCGTTTGGCAGTTCCTCTTCAACCATGGGAATTTCGTAGCCGGCTTTTCGAACCAGATAACAGTGAGCTAGGATTGTTGCCAGAATATGTAATCATTCATTAGGTCGTTCAAGAAGGAAGCTCAGTGGTTAATATATTACTTTTATTCATTTTAGTAGAGATAAGGTGTACTTCTGGTAAATCTCAAGATTCGAAGATAGTAGATTTGGATTTTCAAAAAGTTATGGTACGGTTTAAGTCTGGTGTCCATTCCGATTTGTGAGGAATTTGAAGCATTTGGTAGGTCCATCAAGCCGATAGAATTATATGGAGAATGAAACCGATGTCCGTTCCTTCATCTAGCACCCCAGGTTCCACACCTATAGGTTGGTGTCTCATCAACAGTTTCAATCCCTCAGTATGTAGGGCTGGAAGTCCGTTGAGCGGACAGCTTTTCTGACAGTTAACCTTCTAATCACTGAGTTTTATCGATCCGGATTGATTTCTACATCATTACACTTGTACTAGTCTTACCTTCTCGTTTTTGCATCTGTCTATTTGTGTCGCATTCACCCCAGTCATCCCATCGCATTTCGAGAGCCAAATTCAGTTCGATTTTTGCCTCTATTTCCTTTCTGGAAAAATCTATTTTAGAAAGCAGCGAAGTAGCAAAGTCCTAATTTAAACTAGTCTTCCAAGTCTCCGCCTCCAACAACTTTCGCTCCAGCCCTTCGCCCATCGGCTAGTGCGGTCGATAAGAAGGCACCCAAGCAAAGAACTCAATCGGCTCGTTGGGGAAAGTGAGAGAATTTCAAATGTTTTTTAAACCACTAAAATCTCGATGATATCAGTAATGCTGAGGCCATGTTCAGCTAAATCTGAGTATCACCTGCAGAAGTTCAGCGTACAGCCTTCTTCCGTTTCAGTTTGATCGAACTGAATCGAATATCATTAGCTAAACCTGATTTTCCCAGGCTGTTTGATCAGAAAGGTGACTGACGTATTTGGCTTGGCAGAACTCCAGTTTGGAATTTTTGCATCGCGCCGGTGCTTCGTGACGGATGTTCGGCACGAAGTGATAACGCCAGTTGAAATTCGCACGAATTAGCTGGTGATCCTCCTTATCGATACAACCGTCAGCTTAAGAAACAACCTGTATCACAATCAGATAATGGAAAATACTTAGTTAGAGGAACTAAAACGTGATCCCAGGGGCTGAAAGGCGAGGATCGCTCAAGTATTTTGACTGGAGGCTCGCTATAGTACGAAAACCTTATCTACTTCATGGTGATTATATAAGTCCGTAATTCGGAACTATCTAAAGATTAGCTGACGCCGAAGTTTCATGTTCTGGAATGGCGGGGCGTTAACAAGATGCTTGAGTTATACTTAAACAGTATGGTGCCCTAGAAGATGCAACGAAGCTGAGTACGAGACATATGGGCTTCGCCAATTAGGAAAAGGCTCAAGGAAGAGGCGGCATTTCATGGGCTCGAAAGGTGCCGGCCTAGTCAAGACCGCCTACTTTTGGCCGTGTTCAGTAATTCACTAGGGTACACACGGAGCGACCTCATAGATGCTATTTTTACTTCCCTTTTACAACACGTGCGATGCTGAATCAGAGAGTTATCTAGAGAATTGAATTTTTGTGTTCCTGATCTTTTTTTCACTTTCGTATCTATAGGCGGACCATTTAGCATTAGTGCTACTATTCCAAATCAATCGCTTATTCAAGCCGTCCTTATTTGCACCGATAGCTTAAGACATCTCTCATGACCGCAGTGATATTCCCGAAAAAATCGCTCTAATTGTTATGGAGAACATACCCAGTAAATCCTTCATTTCAGACAATCGAACAGGAGGTGTCATTGCCATCAGTACGTAGAAGATCGAGGTATGTGAACGAGACTGGGCATCGTAGCAGAAATAGACACCTTGTGAAGCTGGGCTGGCCTGGAGTGAGCACAAGCTCATGCAAAAAGGTGAGCCGTGCTTTCAACTTCCATACGTTATTGATTAGCTTGGTTGGAAAGAATAAAGTGTTTATTGGATGCGTTTCCTCTTTCTCTCTTTTTCTCTTACTCTCCCTGTCTAGAATCATGATGCTTCTAGAGATGTTCTGTTACTTGCGAAGCTCAAAATATATGGTCTTATCAGGCTTACTCGTAAGATAGTGAGTTTTCCTTTGCGTTGAATAAAGACAGGTTCTTGCTTCATAATATACAACTTGTTTCCTTCCTTATCGAGTACCTCGGGCATCGTGTCTTTGATTTTCATTTCGGAAATGTTCCTTGGGCTAAAATGGTGGTTCATCCGGGTTGTAGAAGATGGATGGAACAACAACATGAGGGAAGGCAACGAGGCGCAACACTACGATTCTAAGACCCACCCAAACTTATAGGCATTAAGGCCGTTTTCCACTCGGGACCACAGTTTGTAGGAGAATCGCGTGCTGCGCTAAAATTAGGAGTTTTTGCTTTCTGCTTTTCATCAGGCATCGCTGACGAAATTAAGTCTTGAGCTGTACACTGCGGCCCGCTTAACAAGCTTCGGGAGGGTAAACGAGTTAGCTTAGGGACCTTCAGCTCCCTCATTAGTTACCTACACCTCCCTCATTAGTATATGAGAATGCATGTGCTGAAGAATACCATGCATTTATCAGTCATCCAACCGGTATCTTTCCCTGGCTGCCACTGGCATCGGATCTACCGTGTACCTGTATGTGTATTTGCCTGTTCGCCGTCGTACTCGACATCCACAGCAACTGAAGCTCTATGCCATCCGTTGTTGTCAGTGGCCGAGTTTTCGTTGCTTAGGTGTTGATTTCTTGACTTATGGCTCGTTCTGAACTATATGAAATCGCTTGGGACCTACCTTAGGATTTTCAAGGAACCTCAATATCTTTGTCGATCTGCCCCATATTTTCATTTTTCCATTGAAAACAAATGCTAATTCGCACATGAGACATGGCAGGTCGACTTGGTCACCAGGCCAAAAGTATACAGGAACGATCTGCAAAGGTACAGTTATGATAGAATTCAGAAAGTAGGGAATTGTGAGGTTTCGTCGCGGCTCCTGAGTTAGTTTGCGTCATTAAAACCGTCTGCTGGGTGAAAGATTCCCAGAGATTGACTTCACCAGCATTCCGAAATGTTGATCAGCGTGGAAGTTCCAACAGCTGTGACTCCCGTTTTTTCAACTTTCGTCTTGAAAAAGCCAATTATATCCTGGACTCACGATCAATGGGTTCTGTTCACCACACTCATTGGTGTAAGATGCAAGAGACCATTCGTATTCAATGTGTTCTTTGATTGCTCTTGGAATGTCATAGGTTCCCCAATTTGGCGGTGGAACGAGATGTATTGAGTCTTCAACCAATTCTGGGATTTTTTCGAGGCTTGGTCGAGTTGCCAGCAGTTCTGGCGGTTTTGGAGAAATCTGCATTGAGAACTGAAGTCATTATGGCCTTTCAAACGCGGGACGACCTACCTGTAACGTGCATCGCACTAGTAGAAATGCAATAAATATTCGCATGAAATCAAGTCATTGAAAAGATGAATGAACCTCACTACTCTCCTACATACTGGTAACTATGTTTACTTCAGTGCTGTTGATATAGCTTCGAAATTCGTCACTTGAGCTCTTCGAAAAAAATGAGCTTGGGTACGGAGGTCGCTTCATGTACCCTCTCCGGAAGGCGATAACGTTCTAGTGGTTGGTGCGGTACAAGAGCCTCTGACAAAGCCAATGTTCTTCNGTCTACTCAGTGATGCTGATATAGCTTCGAAATTCGTCACTTGAGCTCTTCGAAAAAAAGGAACTTGGGAAAGGAGGTCGCTTCATGTACCCTCTCCGAAAGGCGATAACGTTCTAGTGGTTGGTGCGGTACAAGAGCCTCTGACAAAGCCCATGTTCTTCCTTTGGAACTTGGAACAAAGACCACCAGTCAATCGTCACCGAAGAGATTGAATGATAGCTTAGGGAGGGTTCNACTATGTTTACTTCAGTGCTTTCGATATAGCTTCGTAATTCGTCACTTGAGCTCTTCGAAAAAATGAGCTTGGGTAAGGAGGACGCTTCATGTACGCTCTCCGGAAGGCGATAACGTTCTAGTGGTTGGTGCGGTACAAGAGCCTCTGACAAAGCCAATGTTCTTCCTCTGGAACTCAAAGACCACCAGTCAATCGTCACCGAAGAGATTGAATGATAGATTGGGGAGGGTTCACCTCTTCGTACTGAACCAGGCTGCGAACGTACGAGGAATGTCGTTTATTTTTATGCATCTGGTTTGACTACAAAGAGGCAACGTAAGGGGGGTCTTGCATCAGCTTGAAAGCTTTTCCGAAGAAAGCTTAATATCAACTGAAAGGTTGGCAGCCTCTCTGGCAGTGCACAGCTGCATTGTGCGACGTCCGCAATCTTCATTTGAAATGCTTGATGAACTGGTCGACGATTTTGGATAGTCCTACTTTGCCCACCTTACTAGAAAAATTGTTTCAAATCCTGCTTATGACTATACTACCTTTTCTGTGTTTTTGAACAATTACGCCTTACAGGCGACAATCCTTTCTAATATTTTCTTTTGTATTTTGAGGGCTCTTTTGGCTTCATACGTATCGGAGTTTTTGGTATAGCTTGCAGTAGCATTAGTTCACATTCCGGAACAGTAGTGTCCTCCTGATCAAGGGCACATTCGGAGCGCTTTACGGTCAGAAGGGAGACAGGAATGGTAGACGACGTACTAGGGTGTCCGAAAAGTTTTGAGAAAATTTAGTTGATTTTTTCAATGAAAATTACTAGAGCAATAAATTTAGATCAGTGATCAAGATAGTAGCCCTCCTCAGCCGCAATCTCTACATCAGCCAGACTGGGCATTGATGTCATTCCTCCAATATGATGAGGGTCGTGACGCAATTCATTCATCTACCACTTACTTGACTCCTCGACAGTAGCTGAACTTTTTTCCTGTAGAGCAGGCCTATGGGCTTCTAAAAGTATGGCAGCCATATCGCTTAAAGTCAGATAAATATGTGGGGTTCGGGGTAGCCAGTTATACCAAGTCTTTCCAGCTCATCCCTCCACGTCTTCGCGCAATCGAAAATTTCCTTGTAATCGATGTGAAATGGAGGCTCGAAACACCATCTTTCTCAGTCGGTAAAAGAATGCCCTTGCGTTTACCATAGTGTACTCTGGTAGGCTCTCATAGTAAAACACCCTGTTGAGCAGAGGATGAATGAGTCCATATGACGCCTCGCTTTGTAGCCAGCTATGGCCTTACGTCCACTGATAGGCATTGCGATTTCCTGTGTGGAGTCGATTGATGTCGTCGTTCCTTCACAGTCGAGGAACTTCTGACCCACACTGACTCGCACTAGAGCTCCTGTTCAACAAAGGAGCGGGTGATACTTGCAAAAGTCTTGATTTGAAAGTGACTTCTGCGTAGAATGTTGTGGACAACGGATTGAGGAGTAGAGATCGTCTTTTCCAAATCCTGCCATTTTGATCAGGATTGCTGTGGCGGGAGGCCAGAACAGTTTCCGTATTTAAGGACAGTAGACTCCCTTCGACAAACTTCGTCGAAGCAAATCTCTTCTCATTGAAAGCGATCGTGCTATTTATGAGGTGACAAGAGAGGGTCACTGCTGCCAATCAGTCACCATATCCCATTCCAAGCTTGAGTGTCGAAGCGATCAGTCTCAGGCAATGGTGAAGCAGAAGGCTCCGATAGCAGCTATAGTAATTATCTATCAACTGTGCCCTTTTCCATGCTACCGAATGGATAGTCCTTCTTTAGCGCGTCGCGAGCAACATGCTTTCAAAGTTGGAAGGCGAAATTTTCTCAAAACTTCCCGGATACTCTTATATCTCGAAGATTCAATTGGTTTATATGAGGTTGTGTGTGCATTCTAACAGAAAACATGAATGCAAGATTTACTAAAAAGGTACTAATAAATTTGCGAATTTACTAATAAAAAGCTGGCACGGAATATATCGAAATCCCCTTTCAGGCCAACTTATGAGTTCTTGGTGGACAAGGGCAGTAAGCAGCATCCGTTCCAGGACTTCCATTGGAACCAGGTTGTCCAGGTTGTCCTGGGCTTCCAGGTTGTCCATCATTACCCGGGGCACCAGGTGGTCCTGCTGGTCCTGGTGCTCCGGCTCCAAAACCACTGCCATTCTCACCAGGCGTCCCAGGTGCTCCTTGTGGTCCTGGGGCACCAGCTGGACCGGGTAAGCTGCTCGATCGGGTACCTGAAAATGTTGTGTTTTTAAGAAAGGTGATGTTGAGATTTCACTAAAATAATATCAACATTTCCACAATTTTTACCAGGTGCTCCAGGAATTCCATCTTGTCCTGGTGCACCGGGGTTTCCATTCTGTCCAGGCGCTCCTGGAGGTCCTGGTGGTCCTGCGGGTCCTGAAATATCCTCATGCACCCTTGATGCAGTTCAGTCAAGAGAAAATCATTATTGTCCGCTACGTACCTGATCCACCTCCTTGCCCATCCTGTCCTGGATTTCCAGGGGCTCCAGCTGGACCAGGTCCTCCGTCGGGTCCAGGTGGTCCAGGAGGTCCGGCTGGACACTGGATGCATCCGCCTTGGTGCGATGCGGCCTCAGCGTGGCCGGCAGAACCTGGCTGTCCAGGCTGGCCCGGAAGCCCGTCTTCTCCTGCCAATCCTGGTTGTCCAGGTGGTCCTAAATAAACAAGCCTTAGTTGTTGTCTATAAAGTCTGTTCGAATAAGTCTTACCAGGTGGTCCTCGAGGGCATGAGCTGGCTTGAGCTGCACATTGACACCCAGCTGATTGGCTTACTGCTGCTTGACTTCCCCAAGTGTGTGATCCTTGTTCACTTCCTGCTGTGAATGATCCTTGTTCACTTCCTGCTGTAAATGATCCTTGTCCACTTCCTGCTGTGTATGATCCTTGTTGACTTCCTGATGTGTGTGATCCTCGCTGACTTCCTGATGAGTATGATCCCTGTTGACCTCCTGTTGCGTATGATCCTTGTCTCCTAGTACGGACAACGGAATTGAAGAAAGCGCTGTGCCGTCTTGCTGATGATGCTTGGTTCGCTGTCATCATCATCATCCATGCGTCGTCAGCATGAGCCTGATCAGGTTGTAATTAATAAATATAGCAGTACTAATGTTCTGTGGCAGAAAGTTTGCGCAAAAGGAAGTAAACTGAGTTCTCACCTTGAATTGGTTGAGATCTTCTTCGACGAGAGTACGAAACTCGTCAATCTCATCAACAACATCGAGTATAATTATGAAAGTGGTCCCAAGGAGAATCCCAGTGCAAATGAATGTTCCCAAAATGCTATAGTAGAACACAGCACCCATCTGAAAAACTGTTCAATCCAAAAAAAGGTTTCTAACGGTGCGACGACGTTCTTATGTGTTGTAGTCGATTAAGTGATACTTGGCGCTCCGACTGAGCCCAAATTCAATTCCTACAATAACTTAAGACTAAGACAGGTTTTGCGCTTGATGCGCGGGCTTCCATGTTTCATAATCGGACCCAAATGCAGTGTCCATTAAACGAAATTGTTGATTCGATTGAAGTTATAGAGAAATTTATGGTGAAGTGGAAGATACGTAACGTGAGTGCACACTGTCACACAAGAAGAAGCCTACTTCCAATTACCAGGGAATGTCCGATTGGCTATTTAAGAAATTTCCCGGATTTTTCGCATGTAGTCCCTTTTCCCAAGAAGCCATGTTCGAGGGTGGGATTTATGAGAAGTAGGTGTGTACCAAGAAAGCAGGGTCAACATTTAGGGCTATTCCATTTTTTTAGGACTCTGAACTTGCTACTGCTTTAGTTGCTACTTAAACGCTCACACTTAAAATAATTCGAACTCAGTAAAACTAGAAAAATAATGTCGGATTGAGATT